GATCTCATGGCCGTCCAGTCTCTATCTCATGGCCTTTCGGTCTCTTTATCTCACAGTCTTTTGGTCTCTGGATCTCATGGCCTTCCAGTTTCTGGATCTCATGGCCGTCCAGTCTCTATCTCATGGCCTTTCGGTCTCTTTATCTCACAGTCTTTTGGTCTCTGGATCTCATGGCCTTCCAGTTTCTGGATCTCATGGCCGTCCAGTCTCTATCTCATGGCCTTTCGTTCTCTGGATCTCATGGCCTTTCGGTCTCTTTATCTCACGGTCTTTTGGTCTCTGGATCTCATGGCCTTCCATACACACATATATACATATACACATGCACACACATATACATATCCACATACATACACACACAAATAAGCATATAGACAAGCACGCACATATACACATTATGCATGTACACATATAAACACACAAATACACAAATATATACACACATATATATACACCATATATATATATATATACACACACACACACTCATATACACTAGCCGTCCCCTGCCACACGTTGCTGTGACCCACATGGGGGTTCTGTGTGGGAGGTTTGGCCCAATTCTATCGTTGGTGGGATTCAGAATGCTCTGTGATTGTTGTTCATTCGTTCAGTCATCTCCGACTCTTTGTGACCTCATGGACCAGCCCATGCCAGAGCTCCCTGTCAGCCGTCACCACCCCCAGCTCCTTCAAGGTCAGTCCAGTCACTTCAAGGATGCCATCCATCCATCTTGCCCTTGGTCGGTCCCTCTTCCTTTTGCCTTCCCCTTTCCCCAGCATAATTGTCTTCTCTAGGCTTTGCTGTCTCCTCATGATGTGGCCAAAGGACTTCCACTTTGTCTCTAGTATCCTTCCCTCCAATGAGCACTCGGGCTTTATTTCCTGGAGGATGGACTGGTTGGATCTTCTCGCAGTCCAAGGCACTCTCAGAACTTTCCTCCAACACCACAGCTCAAAAGCATCGATCTTCCTTCGCTCAGCCTTCCCTAAGGTCCAGCTCTCACATCCGTAGGTTACTACAGGGAATACCATGGCTTTGACTATGTGGATCTTTGTTGCCAGTCTGATGTCTCTACTCTTTACTATTTTATCGAGACTGGACAGGTGGGGTTCAGAATGTGCTTTGATTGTAGATGAACTATAAATCCCAGCAACCATAACTCCCAAATATCAAGGTCTATTTTCCCCAACTCCACAACTGTTCACATTTGGGCATATTGAGTATCCAAACCAAGTTTAGTCCTGATCCATCATTTTTTGTGTCCACTGTGCTCTCTGGTTGAGTCCACAGTGATCTCTGGGTGTAGGTGAACTACAGCTCCAAAATCAAAGGACACTGCCCACCAAACCCTTCCAGTATTTTTGTTGGTCATGGGAGAACTGTGTGCCAAGTTTGGTTCAATTCCCTCATTGGTGGGGTTCAGAATGCTCTTTGATTGTAGGTGAACTATAAATCCCAGCAACTACAACTCTCAAATGACGAAATTATAATTTTTTGAGCGATGGTCACTCCTTGTGTTGTGAGACGTTTTCTTGCAAAATTTTGTTCATTGGTTCTTTTGTTTTTAAGGTACTCATTATGCACAGAGCATTTATATATATATAGATACACACATACAAACACACACATATATACACACACAAAACACATATATACAGACTGGGCCACAGCTACCCGTGTCAAGGGATGGCTAATAATAATAATAATAATAATAATAATAATAATAATAATAATAATGGGTTGTTGTAGGTTTTTCGGGCTATATGGCCATGTTCTAGAGCAGTGTTTCTCAACCAACCTTCCTAATGCCGCGACCCCTTAATACAGTTCTTCATGTTGTGGTGGCCCCAACCATAGAATTATTTTTGTTGCTCCTTCACAACTGTAATTTTGCTACTGTTATGAATCATCATATAAATATCTCATATGCAGGATGTATTTTATACAAATATGCGATATGCCCATATATATATATATATATTGGGGGGGGGATAATTAATTTTGTCATTTTGGGAGTTGTAGTTGCTGGGATTTATAGTACACCTACAATGAAAGAGCATTCTGAACTCCACCAATGAGGGAATTGAACCAAACTTGGCACACAGAACTCCCATGACCAACAGAAAATACTGGAAGGTTTTGGTGGGCATTGACCTTGAGTTTTGGAGTTGTAGTTCACCTACATCCAGAGAGCACTGTGGACTCAAACAATGATGGATCTGGACTAAACTTGGCATGAATACTCAATATGCTCACATGTGAACACTAGTGGAGTTTGGGAAAAAGAGGCCTTGACATTTGGGAGCTGTAGTTGCTGGGATTTATAGTTCACCTACACTCAAAGTGCCCCTTGAATCCCATCAATGATAGAATTGGGCAAAACTTCCCACACAGAACTCCCATGACCAACAGAAAATACTGTCTGTGATGGTCTTTGGCGACCCCTCTGACACCCTCTCGCGACCCCTCCAGGGGTCCCAACCCCCAGGTTGAGAACCACTGTTCTAGAGGCATTCTCTCCTGATGTTTTGCCTGCATTTATGGCAAGCATCCTCAGAGGTTGTTTTTTAATACTGATAGTCAGATTTTAGCTATGACTGGGCTACAGACCCAATCCAATCCAAATTACAACAGCACAAACAACAGAGAGGAAACAAAAAAGGACATCTAATAACCTCTCAACAAAAGATTGCCCCAGGCACTGCCAGGCCATCAAATGCTAATCAAGGTGGTCAGTTGAAACATTCACACCTAGCTCCAGCAGACAAGAGTCCTTTCTCCCACCCTGGTCTTTCCACAGATATAAAAACCCATTTTCCTAGTTCCAACAGACCTCACTACCTCTGAGGATGCTTGCCATAGATGCAGGTAAAACGTCAGGAGAGAATGCCTCTAGAACATGGCCATATAGCCCGGAAAAACCTACAACAACCCAGTGATTCCAGCCATGAAAGCCTTCGACAATAAATAATAATAATAATAATAATAATAATAATAATAATCCCATTATTTCAAAGCACTTTTTATTGATCTCATTGAAAACAGAACAAGGAAATGACAAAGAGCCCAAAAGATGGCACCCTTTTTAAACAGTTGAAAACAGGAAAGGTCGGGGGGCGAAAAAATTCCAAAACAAAAAGGAAACACAAAAAAAAAACCACCTGGCAATATGAATGGGATTTCAAAGAGGAGGAGAAAAAAGAGAGACAGACCCCAAACCTGGTACTGCACTAGTTACAGTATTTAAAGATATATGAAAGGGAAATTAAAACGACCTGCTTCGCCACCACAGAAAAGGTGGAAACAGATTAATTTTTTTTTAAATCCTCACTACAATACTAACAAAAATGTCCTGCGGGGTGCGTTTTTTTGTTGTTGTTGTCGTCCCTGCATTTGATACTAAAATCATTTTGTTCTTTTCCCCCCACCCCGGTTTTATTATACAACTGAATTTTATAATTCGCACGGTGAGTAAAAATCACACTCAAATCAGCACCGTTTAAATTGCTCGGGTGGAAGGAAAGGGGGGTCGCGGGGGGCTCTTCTGTCCAGGGCCCTCCTCGCAACCCTCCCCCCCCAAAAGTATAAACAGTTCAATCCAACTTTATTGTCGCAACGTGCAGCTTAAGAAGAGGAGAAAAGGAGCCAAATGGGGAAAGAACGAAAGAAAGGAAGGGGCGCTCCCGATACGGCTGCTACCTCCACCTCCGCATCCTCCTCCTCTTCGGGATCTGCTTGCTTCGGAAATGCCCAGAGAAGGACCTCCATCAAATGCTGGTTTATCTCCCCCCAAAGTCTCTGCTCTGTTCTCTTTTCCCCAAGGTGTTGATGCCATTTAGCACATGTTTCTGGAGGCTTTCGAGCATGACAAAACAGAGGAAGGAAGGAAGGAAGGAAGGAAGGAAGGAAGGAAGGAAGGAAGGAAGGAAGGAAGGAAGGAAGAGGGAAGATGAAAAAAAGGAYGGAGGAGAGGAAAATAAAGTGGAAGCGAATGGAGAATCATTGGGAGAAGGAGGAAAATAAGCAGGAGAAAACGATAGAAATAGAAGAGGAGAAAGAGAAAGGAAGTAGAGAAAGGAGAAAYAAGAGAAAGGATCTGAAAGAAGAGAAGAAAGTGGAGGAGAATCATGGAAAAGGAGGAAGGAGGTGAAGAACAAAGAGGAGGAATGAGGTGAAGACAAGAGGTGCAATCATCAAAGAGAGGAAGGAGGAAAAGAAGCAGGAGAAAACGATGATAAAATAGAAGAYGAGGAAGAAAGAAGAGTAGAAGGWGGAAGGAAGTAGAGAAAGGAGAAAGAAGAGAAAGGAGCTGAAAGAAGAGAAGAAAGCGCGTGAGAATCATGGAAAAGGAGGAAGGAGGAGAAGAACAATGAGGAGGAATGAGGTGAAGGAAAGTGGATGATCATGAAGGGAAGAGAAAGGAGGAAGAGACGCACTATTATGAGGGACAGAAGGAGGGAGAGGAAGACAAGAGGGGCAATCTGAAYAAGAAGTAGAAGAAGAGGAGATGGAGGAAGAAATGATAATGAGGAGGCAAAGAAAGAGGAGGAGGAAGAGTAGGTAGACAATCATGAAGGACAGSAGGAGGAAGACAAGAGGTGCAATCATCAAAGAGAGGATGAAGGAAAGGAAGAAAGAAGAGATAGAGGAGGAAGGAAGRAGAGAAAGGAGGGCAAAGAGAAAGAAGTGTCAAAAAGAGAAGAAAGAGGGGAGGAGGAGAATCATGGAAAAGGAGGAAGGAGGTGAAAAATGAAGAGGAGGAATGAGGCGAAGGAAAGTGGATGATCATGAAAGGAAAAGAAAGGAGAAGTAGAGGAGATGGACAATCATGAAGGACAAGACAAGCGGGGCAATCATAAAAGAGAGGCTGAAGGAAAGGAAGAAAGAAGAGGAGACAGAGGAGGAAGGAAGCAGAGAAAGGAAGGCGAAGAGAAAAAAAGTGCAAAGAAGAGAAGAAAGAGGGGAGGAGGAGAATCATGGAAAAGGAGGAAGAGGTGAAGGAAAGTGGATGATCATGAAGGGAAAAGAAAGGAGGAAGAGGAGGAGATGGACTATTATGAAGGACAGAAGGAGAGGGAGGAAGACAAGAGAGAGGATGAAGAAGAGGTAGAAGAAGACAAGATATAGGTAGAGATGATAATGAGGAGACAAAGAAAGAGGAGGAGGAGGAAGAGTAGGCAGACAATCATGAAGGACAGGAGGAGGAAGACAAGAGGCGCAATCATCAAAGAGAGGATGAAGGAGAAGACGAAAGAAGAGGAGATGGAGGAAGGAAGCAGAGAAGAGAAAAAAACTGAAAGAGAAGAAAGGGAGAGGAGGAGAATCATGGAAAAGGAGGAAGGAGTTGAAGAACGAAGAGGAGGAATGAGGCGAAGAAAAGTGYATGATCATGAAGGGAAGAGAAAGGAGAAGGGAGAAGAGGAGGTGGACAATCATGAAGGACAGGAGGAGGAAGACAAGAGGGGCAATAATCAAAGAGGATGGAGAAGAAGAAAAAAGAAGTGGAGACAGAGGAAGAGGAGATGATGGTGAAGAGGAAGGAYACAAAGAAAGAAAGAGGAAGAAGAAGAGGCGGACAATCATGAAGGGCAGGAGGAGGAAGAGAAGAGGATGGAGAAGAGGAAGAAAGAAAGAGAGACGGAGGAAGAGGAGATGATGAGAAGAGGAAGGAGACAAAGAAAGAGGAAGAAGAGGAGGCGGACAATCATGAAGGACAGGAGGAGGAAGAGAAGAGGAAGAAAGAAGTAGAGACGGAGGAAGAGGAGATGATCATGAGAAGGAAGGAGACAAAGAAAGAGGAGAAGGAAGAAGAAAAATATGGACAACAAGAGGAAGAAAGAGAGAAAGACAAGGTGGAAGAAGAGCAAGACGAAGCGGGAAAGAGAAGAGAGAGGAGGTGAAATAATGTACTAGGGGGAGAAGAGGCAAGAAATATGCCCAAGAGCTGGTCTGTAATGGAGAAGACACTTTGATGGGGAGCTTCCAGGCCCGGGACAACTGGGACGGAGGGGAAACAAGAGGCCAACTGCTCATTCTGGGCAGGCACGTTGTTTCCAAGGGGAGAAGGACAACACCGTTCTCTATTTTCCAGCGGCGTCCACAAAAGGGAAGTAAGGTCCGGTGGTAGGTGAGCAAAGGCCGCCCCTCTGAGCTGTGAGAAAGAATTGGCAGCGTCAAGTATTCAGAGTTTTTACTACAAGGGGAACGGAGCGCAGCTTGACCATTCAAACCTTCGTTTGGGAGAGAGAGGCAGACTTCTCCCTTGGCTCGTAACGGGGGACGGGAGGGAGCAGCTGCGCAGGATCCCTGTTTTTGTCACGACAACACGGCATCCATCCTTCTGTCCCTCCAAAAAGAGTTGTGGGGGTGCCTTGCTACCCGGAGTACTGCTACCTTCTGGGGGCTTCCCTTCTTCTTAAGGAGAGGAACATGGAAATGCTTTCAATCTGTGGCTGTTCTTTTTGGTGACCGGGGTGGGGTGGGGTGTGCAGTTGTGGTGTCAAAGGGGGGGGGCAAGAAAGCCCTCAAAAGGGGGTGCTGGCTGCTGCTACCGTTGCTGCTGCAGAGCTGGTGTCGGGGAGTCTGTTTTCGGGGGCCTCCGGGGAGAGCGATGGGCTCGCCAGCCGCTGAGCCAAGGCGGCAGTGGAGTGCCTGCACTTCGGGGAGCCGCACAGGCAACTGAAGTATTTGCCCTTGATGTTCCAGAACCTTTCGCCATAGTCGAACCTGGGAGGGAAGAAGAGAGATGAGGCCCAGTTAAGCGAGAGTTAAGCCCTTGTTTTGCTGAACTGCTCACTGGAAGGTTGGCAGCAGCTTAGTACACCTTAGTGTTAGTTGCCCTCAGTCTGAGAGAGGCCTCAGTGGGAGGTAAACCTCAGTGTTAGTTGCCCTCAGTCTGAGAGAGGCCTCAGTGTGAGGTAAACCTCAGGGTTAGTAGGCCCTAACTCCTGCCAACCTAGTGAGGCAGCAGCTTAGTACACCTCAGTGTTAGTTGCCCTCAGTCTGAGAGAGGCCTCAGTGTGAGGTAAACCTCAGGGTTAGTAGGCCCTAACTCCTGCCAACCTGTGAGGCAGCAGCTTAGTACACCTCAGTATTAGTTGCCCTCAGTCTGAGAGAGGCCTCAGTGTGAGGTAAACCTCAGTGTTAGCTGCCCTCAGTCTGAGGTAAATCTCAGGATTAGTAGGCCCTAACTCCTGTCAACCTAGTGAGGCAGCAGCTTAGTACACCTCAGTGTTAGTTGCCCTCAGTCTGAGAGAGGCCTCAGTGTGAGGTAAATCTCAGGATTAGTAGGCCCTAACTCCTGTCAACCTAGTGAGGCAGCAGCTTAGTACACCTCAGTGTTAGTTGCCCTCAGTCTGAGAGAGGCCTCAGTGTGAGGTAAACCTCAGTGTTAGTTGCCCTCAGTCTGAGAGAGGCCTCAGTGTGAGGTAAATCTCAGGATTAGTAGGCCCTAACTCCTGTCAACCTAGTGAGGCAGCAGCTTAGTACACCTCAGTGTTAGTTGCCCTCAGTCTGAGAGAGGCCTCAGTGTGAGGTAAACCTCAGGGTTAGTAGGCCCTAACTCCTGCCAACCTAGTGAGGCAGCAGCTTAGTACACCTCAGTGTTAGTTGCCCTCAGTCTGAGAGAGGCCTCAGTGTGAGGTAAACCTCAGGGTTAGTAGGTCCTAACTCCTGCCAACCTAGTGAGGCAGCAGCTTAGTACACCTTAGTGTTAGTTGCCCTCAGTCTGAGAGAGGACTCAGTGTGAGGTAAACCTCAGGGTTAATAGGTCCTAGTTTCTGCCAACACAGAGAGGCAGCAGCTTAGTACACCTCAGTGTTAGTTGCCCTCAGTCTGAGAGAGGCCTCAGTGTGAGGTAAATCTCAGGATTAGTAGGCCCTAGTTCCTGCCAACCCAGTGAGGCAGCAGTTTAGTACACCTCAGTGTTAGTTGCCCTCAGTATGAAGAGGCTTCAGTCTGAGAGAGGCCTCAGTGTGAGGTAAACATCAGGGTTACTAGGCCCTAACTCCTGCCAACCTGGTGAGGCAGCAGTTTAGTACACCTCAGTGTTAGTTGCCCTCAGTATGAAGAGGCTTCAGTCTGAGAGAGGCCTCAGTGTGAGGTAAACCTCAGGGTTAGTAGGCCCTAACTTCTGCCAACCCAGTGAGGCAGCAGCTTAGTACACCTCAGTGTTAGTTGCCCTCAGTATGAAGAAGTTTCAGTCTGAGAGAGGCCTCAGTGTGACGGAAACATCAGGGTTAGTAGGCCCTAACTCTTGCCAACCTAGTGATGCAGCAGCTTAGTACACCTCAGTGTTAGTTGTCCTCAGTATGAAAAGGCTTCAGTCTAAGAGAGGACTCAGTGTGAGGTAAACCTCAGGGTTAGTAGGCCCTAACTCCTGCCAACCTAGTGAGGCAGCAGCTTAGTAGACCTCAGTGTTAGTTGCCCTCAGTATGAGGAGGCTTCAGTCTGAGAAAGGCCTCAGTGTGAGGTAAACCTCAGGGTTAGTAGGCCCTAACTCCTGCCAACCCAGTGAGGCAGCAGCTTAGTACACCTCAGTGTTAGTTGCCCTCAGTATGAAGAAGTTTCAGTCTGAGAGAGGCCTCAGTGTGACGGAAACATCAGGGTTAGTAGGCCCTAACTCTTGCCAACCTAGTGATGCAGCAGCTTAGTACACCTCAGTGTTAGTTGTCCTCAGTATGAAAAGGCTTCAGTCTAAGAGAGGACTCAGTGTGAGGTAAACCTCAGGGTTAGTAGGCCCTAACTCCTGCCAACCTAGTGAGGCAGCAGCTTAGTAGACCTCAGTGTTAGTTGCCCTCAGTATGAGGAGGCTTCAGTCTGAGAAAGGCCTCAGTGTGAGGTAAACCTCAGGGTTAGTAGGCCCTAACTCCTGCCAACCCAGTGAGGCAGCAGCTTAGTACACCTCAGTGTTAGTTGCCCTCAGTATGAAGAGGCTTCAGTCTGAGAGAGGCCTCAGTGTAAGGTAAACCTCAGGGTTAGTAGGCCCTAGCTCCTGCCAACCCAGTGAGGCAGCAGTTTAGTACACCTCAGTGTTAGTTGCCCTCAGTCTGAGAGAGGCCTCAGTGTGAGGTAAACCTCAGGGTTAGTAGGCCCTAACTCCTGCCAACCTAGTGAGGCAGCAGCTTAGTACACCTCAGTGTTAGTTGCCCTCAGTATGAAGAGGCTTCAGTCTGAGAGGCCTCAGTGTGAGGTAAACCTCAGGGTTAGTAGGCCCTAACTCCTGCCAACCCAGTGAGGCAGCAGCTTAGTACACCTCAGTGTTAGTTGCCCTCAGTATGAAGAGGCTTCAGTCTGAGAGAGGCCTCAGTGTAAGGTAAACCTCAGGGTTAGTAGGCCCTAGCTCCTGCCAACCTAGTGAGGCAGCAGCTTAGTACACCTCAGTGTTAGTTGCCCTCAGTCTGAGAGAGGCCTCAGTGTGAGGTAAATCTCAGGATTAGTAGGCCCTAACTCCTGACAACCTAGTGAGGCACCAGCTTAGTAGACCTCAATGTTAGTTGCCCTCAGTATAAAGAGGCTTCAGTCTGAGAGAGGCCACAGTGTGAGGTAAACCTCAGGGTTAATTGGCCCAAGCTCCTGCCAACCCAGTGAGGCAGCAGCTTAGTACACCTCAGTGTTAACTGCCCTCAGTATGAAGAGGCTTCAGTCTCAGGCCAAGACGTACCCAATCTCGTCTCCCGCCTGGATGTGTCTGCTGCTGAAGAAGGCAATTCTAGGGAAGCGCAGGTCCTGATGGGACATGAAGACGCGGACGGCAATGAGGTTTGGCTCGCAGAAATGGTTGATGAAGCGACTGATGTTGCCGTAGAAGCGGGCATCTATGCAGTAGACGTCTCTGTCCTAAGGAAGACATAGGAAGCAAAGGCGATCCATCACACTGACCGATGCATATCTTAGTGCCCTGTTTTTGGGTATATCTGACCTGCTGATTCCAAAAATGGCACCCGTTTCCCTCTATCAGCTCTAGTTTTTTAGATACAACATTATAGAAAACCATAATAACTGTATGGCTGTATGGCCATGTTCCAGGAGCACTCACTCCTGACGTTTCACCCATATCTATGGCCAACGTTGTGAGGTCTGTTGGAAACTAGGCAAGTGGGGTTTATATATCTGTGGAATAATGTCCAGGGTGGGAGAGAGAACTCTTGTCTGTTGGAGGCTAGTGTGAATGTTGCCACTGACCACCTTGATCAGCACTGAATAGCCTTGCAGCTTCAAAGCATGGCTGCCTCCTGCCTGGGGGATCCTTTGTTGGGAGGTGTTAGCTGGCCCTGATTGTTTCCTGTCTGGAATCCCCCTTTTTTTTTAGTATTTCTCTTTATTTACTGTCCTGATTCTTGAATTTTTAATGCTATGTTCAGCAAAGGGAAAGAGGGATCCTTTCACCTCTATAGGAATCTACTGTATACCATGCAGCTGTGGACAAGTCCCTATTATTATTATTATTATTATTATTATTATTATTATTATTATTATTATTGGGTCCACCAAACCCAAGTGTAAATGTTGCAATTGGCCACCTCGATTAGCATTGAATGGCCTTGCAGGTTCAATGTCTGGCTGCTTCCTGCCTAGTTTCCAACAGACTTTACAACCTCTGAGGATGCCTGCCACAGATGTTGTTGTTGTTGTTGTTATTATTATTATTGGGAGAAACAAGACTTCACAACCTCTGAGGATGCCTGCCACAGATGTTGTTGTTATTATTATTATTATTGATATTATTATTGGGAGAAACAAGACTTCACAACCTCTGAGGATGCCTGCCACAGATGTTGTTGTTATTATTATTATTATTATTATTGATATTATTATTGGGAGAAACAAGACTTCACAACCTCTGAGGATGCCTGCCACAGATGTTGTTGTTGTTGTTATTATTATTATTGATATTATTATTGGGAGAAACAAGACTTCACAACCTCTGAGGATGCCTGCCACAGATGATGTTTTGTTATATTATTATTACTATTATTATTATTATTGATATTATTATTGGGAGAAACAAGACTTCACAACCTCTGACGATGCCTGCCACAGAAGTTGTTGTTGTTGTTGTTGTTGTTATTATTATTATTATTATTATTATTATTACTATTGATATTATTATTGGGAGAAACAAGACTTCACAACCTCTGAGGATGCCTGCCACAGATGTTGTTGTTGTTGTTATTATTATTATTGATATTATTATTGGGAGAAACAAGACTTCACAACCTCTGAGGATGCCTGCCACAGAAGTTGTTGTTGTTGTTATTATTATTATTATTATTATTATTACTATTGATATTATTATTGGGAGAAACAAGACTTCACAACCTCTGAGGATGCCTGCCACAGATGTTGTTGTTGTTGTTATTATTATTATTGATATTATTATTGGGAGAAACAAGACTTCACAACCTCTGAGGATGCCTGCCACAGATTATGTTATTATTATTATTATTGATATTGTTATTGGGAGAAACAAGACTTCACAACCTCTGAGGATGCCTGCCACAGATGTTGTTGTTGTTGTTATTATTATTATTGATATTATTATTGGGAGAAACAAGACTTCACAACCTCTGAGGATGCCTGCCACAGATTATGTTATTATTATTATTATTGATATTGTTATTGGGAGAAACAAGACTTCACAACCTCTGAGGATGCCTGCCACAGATTATGTTATTATTATTATTATTGATATTGTTATTGGGAGAAACAAGACTTCACAACCTCTGAGGATGCCTGCCACAGATGTTGTTGTTGTTGTTGTTGTTGTTATTATTGATATTATTATTGGGAGAAACAAGACTTCACAACCTCTGAGGATGCCTGCCACAGATTATGTTATTATTATTATTATTGATATTGTTATTGGGAGAAACAAGACTTCACAACCTCTGAGGATGCCTGCCACAGATTATGTTATTATTATTATTATTGATATTGTTATTGGGAGAAACAAGACTTCACAACCTCTGAGGATGCCTGCCACAGATTATGTTATTATTATTATTATTGATATTGTTATTGGGAGAAACAAGACTTCACAACCTCTGAGGATGCCTGCCACAGATGTTGTTGTTGTTGTTGTTGTTGTTATTATTGATATTATTATTGGGAGAAACAAGACTTCACAACCTCTGAGGATGCCTGCCACAGATGATGTTATTATTATTATTATTATTATTATTATTATTATTATTATTATTATTGATATTATTATTGGGAGAAACAAGACTTCACAACCTCTGAGGATGCCTGCCACAGATGTTGTTGTTGTTGTTATTATTATTATTGATATTATTATTGGGAGAAACAAGACTTCACAACCTCTGAGGATGCCTGCCACAGAAGTTGTTGCTGCTGCTATTATTACTGTTATTATTGTTATTATTATTATTAGTGCTAATACAGTCTATCCAATGCAACTGTCTGAATTCACACCCTGAATATTTATTAATTTTATTTATTTACCATATTTATATACCACCTTTCTCAGCCCGAAGGCGACTCAAGGCGGTTTACAATCGCCATAATTCAATCCCCCCGACAACATAAAAGTATAATTAAAACATTAACATATAGTGTAAACCATATAAAAACAATAAAAGCAATAAAAAACAATAAAACACAAGTCCTCGGCGTCTCATTACTAATAACCCCAGGAACAGCCCTGAAACCCAAAGCACCAAGGAAAAAAAGTCTACATAGGGACCACCAAACCCAAGCGTGAATGTTGCAATTGGCCACCTTGATTAGCACTGAATGGCCTTGCAGCTTCAAAGCCTGGCTTCTTCCTGCCTAGTTTCCAACAGACTTCACAACCTCTGAGGATGCCTGCCACAGTTGTTGTTGTTGTCATTATTAACACCATCGTGAGGTCATATTATTATTATTATTATTATTATTATTATTATTATTATTATTTGAAACACAACAAGGTGAGTCTACAGCAGACACTCTGCTGGTTGTTGTATTGGATCACACATCGGACACTTCCCAAGTGTCTAGGATTGTGTGATGTATCGACGAATAATGCGTGCAGATCCCAGTAAGGTGGCTTTTTGCAGCTGGCAGATGGTAATTTTGTTAGCGCCAATTGTGTTTAAGTGCTGGCCAAGGTCTTTAGGCACTGCACCCAGAATGCCGATCACCACTGGGACCACCTTTACTGGCTTGTGCAGTTCGATCTTTAAATCCTCATATTGTGTCACCTTTTCCAGTTGTTTCTGTTCAATCCTGCTGTCACCTGAGATTGCAACATTGACAATCCATACTTCGTTGTTGTTGTTATTATTATTATTATTATTATTATTATTTGTATATAATAATACATAACATACTAGCCATCCCCTGCCACCCGTTGCTGTGGCCCAGTCTCTATATATGTATTTTGTGTGTGTGTGTATTATGTGTTTATATATTTGTGTATCTGTGTATATATGTGTGTTTGTGCCCGTGTGTGTATATATATATGTGTGTGTATGTGTATATATATATATGGGTGCATATATGTGTGTGCATATCTGTGTGTGAAGATGTGTATATATGTGTGTATATATTTGTGCGTTTATATGTGTGTATGTATATTATGTATATGTGTGTGCTTGTCTATATGCATATTTGTTTATATATGTGTGCATGTATGTGTGCATGTGTATATTTGTGTGTGCATGTGTATATGTATATATGTGTGTGTATGTAGATGTGTGTGTGTATATTTGTGTGTACTTGGGTATATATATATACACGTGTTTGTATGTGTGCATGTGTATATGTACATGTGTGTGTGTGTGTGTGTGTGTGTATGGTATATTTTGGGGATTTTTAAGTCTGTTCTGCTGGGTTTTGTTGTTGTCATTGTAATTTTAGGGGTGATGAACACTCATTGATCTGTTAGGGGTGTACTATCCAAATTTTGTGTCAATTTGTCCAGTGATTTCTGAGTTATGTTAATCCCACAAACAAACATTACATTTTTATTTATATAGATTATTATTATTATTATTATTATTATTAGCACTAATGCAGTCTATCCAATGCAATTGTCTGAATTAACACCCTGAATAACCCCAGGAACAGGCCTAAAAACCAAAGCACCAAAGGGAAAAAAAAAGTATTTATTTTTTGGTAGAGCTGCCACCAGACTTCAAACTTTCCTGGACTGCGGTGACGCTTTCGACCGATTTGTTTCAAGAATATAAACAACAGCTTTAATAAGATATCTCAAATGAATTGCCAGCCACAGATTTCCCTAACTAGATGAGGTAGGCTACAACTCCCATCACATGCCCCCAGCCAACAAGGGATGAGAGTTGTAGCTCAGCATCAAGTTGGAGCACACTAAGGGAGAGCTTACCAGTCAAACACCTAAGACAATAACACCCAAAACAAAAAAAAATTGCTAACACAGTACGATGGTTTCCTCCCACCTTTTGCATCCACTAATGGATCTCCCCAAAACCACGTTTCTAGGCATCCAAGCACATCGGGGAACAACCTTCACATTCTTCCTTTGTTCCTTTGTTCTGACTCCAAACTCAGCAGCCTCTCATTGCAGACATAGACAGAGCGGAAATTAATCCCTTTACTGTGCTGTCGAAGGCTTGCATAGCCAGAATCACTGGATTGCTGTGAGCTTTCCAGGCCACGTTCCAGAAGCATTCTCTCCTGACGTTTCGCCCACATCTACGGCAGGCATCCTCAGAGGTTGTGAGGTCTGTTGGAAACTAGGCAAGTGAGGTTATATATCTGTGGAATAATGTCCAAGGTGGGAGAAAGAACTCTGGTCTGCTTGAGGCAATGCTGCAACTGGTCGTGCGGATTAGCATTGAATGGCCTTGCAGCTTCAAAGCCTGGCTGCTTCCTGCTTGGGGGAATCCTTTCTTGGGAGGTGTTGACTGGCCGTTCAGAAATGGGGCTACAATGTCTTAAATCAAGAAATAGGTTCCTAAGACCCACAGAGATACTTGCAGGAACATCTCAGCAAGTGGAAGTCCAAAAGTGGCAGGCTCAAACTCAGAACCTTAAATACAAAGGCAAAGGCTTCTCCTTTCATTTCCAGCTCTGGAGGTGGTGCTCATCTCCGGCTTTGGGCGAAGTACTATTATTATTATTATTATTATTATTATTATTATTATTATTATTATTATTATTATTGTTTTTATTATTATTTAGAGGCTGGATGGCCATCTGCCAGGGGTGACTCAAACAATGATGGTTCTGGACCAAACTTGGCTCAAATACTCATAATAATAATAATAATAATAATAATAATAATAATAATAATAATAATAATAATATGATGTATTGTCATAGCCTGTGTCTGTTTATATGTTCTGAGTCCCCTACTCCCACCCTGGACATTATTCCACTGGTATATAAACCCCACTTGCCTAGTTTCCAACAGAGCTCACAACCTCTGAGGATGCCTGCCATAGATGTGGAAGAAACGTCAGGAGAGAATGCTTCTGGAACATGAACAGCCCTGAAAACTCACAGCAACCCAGTGATTCCAGCCGTGAAAGTCTTCGACAACACATTAAACTGCTCCCGAAGAGAGGGGATTGCGGAAGCCTTTGCCGATGAGCGATCCGCAGGGAAAACATCGACCCGTGCTATTTCTGAACCGTCACCCCGAGATGGTCCCTCTCCTTCTAAAGGCGAGAAGAGCTTTCCCGAGCACCAGATTGCTCTGCTTCCGCGTGAACAGGGAGGGGAGGAAAAGGGCAGGGAGGGTTTCATTTTAGCACTTCGGCATTTCCCCAGGAGTCCGTAATTTATTTATTTCCAAAGACTACCTTGTTGCCAAGGTCAAAAAGATAGCAGTCTTCTTCACGTACGTTTGCCTCGGAATCGGAAATCAGCTCTCCAACGTACCTGGCAGACAACAAAAAAGGCAAATTAGAGACAGAAGGACTGAAAGGCAGGAGACTGAAGATCAAGATCAAGCCATCACTGGAACTAGGAAAATGGGTTTGTATATCTGTGGAAAGACCATTGTGGGACAAAGGACTCTTGTCTGTTGGAGCTAGGTGTGAATGTTTCAACTGGCCACCTTGATTAGCATTTGATAGCCTGGCAGTGCCTGGAGCAATCTTTTGTTGTCCCTGATTGGTTTCCCTCTGCTGCAATCAGGGACATCTAATCACCTCTCAACAAAAGATTGCTCCAGGCACTGCCAGGCTATCAAATCCTAATCAAGGTGGTCAGTTGAGATATTTTGTTTATTTATTTAGAACTTTTATATACCGGTCTTTTCACCTCCGAAGAGGGACTCAGGCCGGTTTACAACAAGATTCATGAACAGTAGTTTAAAAACATCACACCCCATAACATACTAATACATAAAATACATTAAAAAGCAGTAATATACTTATACAAGGCCAAGTTGTCAAAGAGAAATCAAAATCCGTTATTCATTACCATCCGTCCGTGTGGTCAAAAGTTATTGACTTACTCATCACACCTAGCTCCAGCAGACAAGAGTCCTTTGTCCCACCCTGGTCTTTCCACAGATATACAAACCCATTTTCCTAGTTCCAACAGACCTCACTACCTCTGAGGATGCTTGCATCAGACCTCACTACCTCTGAGGATGCTTGCCATAGATGCAGGCGAAACGTCAGGAGTGAATGCCTCTAGAACATGGCCATATAACCTGAAAAACTCATAACAGCCCAGTGATTCCGGCCATGAAAGCCTTTGACAATACATTCAAGCCATCACGATTTTGAGTTTGAACAGTTTGACACAGAGCTCAAAATACTGCATCACTAGGAGGATAGTGTCTAGGAGGGCGACTCAAATGATCAAGGGTCTGGAGAACAAGCCCTATGAGGAGCGGCTTAAAGAGATGCGCATGTTTAGCCTGAAGAAGAGAAGGCTGAGAGGAGACATGATAGCCATGTATCAATATGTGAGGGGAAGTCATAGGGAGGAGGGAGCAAGCTTGTTTTGTGCTGCCCTGGAGACTAGGATGCAAAACAATTTTTTAATTTTTTGTTTTGTTATTCTTATGGTTATGTTGTTTTTTTACTTTGTATGTTTTGTGATGTTACCTCTGGGTCTCCTCGGGGAGATGGAGCGGTATTATTATTATTATTATTATTATTATTATTATTATTATTATTATTTTGTTGTGTCAACAGTGACCAGAGAAACTGCAAGTCGCTTCTGGTGTGAGAGAATTGGCCGTCTGCAAGGACGTTGCCCAGGGGACGCCTGGATGATTTTTTGATGTTTTATCATCCTTGTGGGAGGCTTCTCTCTCTTTGAGCTGATAGAGGGAGCTCATCCGCCTCTCCCTGGATTTGAACCTGTGACCTGTCGGTCTTCAGTCCTGCCAGCACAGGGGTTTAACCCACTGCGACACCGGGGGCTCCTGCAAAACAATGGCTTCAAACTACAAGAAAGAAGATTCCATCTGAACATGAGGAAGAACTTCCTGACTGTGAGAGCTGTTCAGCAGTGGAACTCTCTGCTCTGGAGTGTGATGGAGACTTCTTTGGAGGCTTTTAAGCAGAGGCTGGATGGCCATCTGTCGGGTGTGCTTTGAATGCAATTTTCCTGCTTCTTGGCAGAATGGGGTTGGACTGGATGGCCCATGAGGTCTCTTCCAACTCTAGGATTCTAATCTATGAGATTAGGCATGGGCAGAGAGGCATGTTTTGGACTTCAACGAGAGTCCAGTTAAACATTAGGAAGAACTAATGGCAAGAGCTGTTTAGGAGTGGAAACTGCTTCTTCCGAGTCCAGTGGGTACTGATCTTGCGCATGGAAAGCTGCCTTCAGGGCATGGCTCCTTCTCTTTCGGCCTTCCCGAGGCTCTGACTTTGCATCTCATTGCAATGCCGTTTTGTAGCATTGCAGAGGTAGTAAAAAATGCACCTGAGTGGCAAGCTGCTCTGGAGATTCAGGCTGATTTGAGCACTGCAAACAAACAACACCAAACAAACTCTGCCCATGTCCCCCAAGAACCCCAGGTATTCCTAATTCGAGGACATTTACTGATATTTAATCTCAAACTACCCAACCTCTGGTTTTCATTCTCCGGCCGAAAATACGATAATTTTCGGCCAATTGGTGGCAATGGGTGGGCTTCCTCAGGCTCCCCTTCCCCTCAATTTAAGGGCTATATGGTTTGTCCTTATATCCTTCATTATGACCTGGATTAAAAGCACGAAAGTGATTTATTTATTTCAAACATTTGTATCCCGCACTTCTCACACACCCCCCCCCCCCCCAGGGGGGAGGTGGACTCAGGGCGGTTTACATCCGGCTTAATTCCATGCCATGACATAAAAATAATACATACAGAATTGCATATAAAACATAGTAAATCAGTTTTAAAATTACTGTATACTAGCCATCCCCTGCCACGCATTGCTGTGGCCCACATGGGGGTTCTCTCTATTTATTATTTATTTATTACTGTGCTTGTATACCGCCGTTTCTCAGCCTAAATTGGCGACTCAACGCGGTTTACAACAGTACAAACAACAACAATATTCAGATTAAAACCATAAAAAACAACATACACAATAGACAATATTGGCCCGTCGATAATAATCCAGTGCATCTCTTAACTAAAATCATAATCCAATTTCATCGTCCATATTACCAATCCATTTAGTCATCAGTTCATTGTACCGAATTAGCCAAATGCCTGTTTGAACATCCAGGTCTTCAGTCTTTTTCGAAACACCATCAGCGAGGGGGCTGATCTTACCTCCATGGGAAGGGCGTTCCAAAGCCGAGGGGCCACCACAGAAAAGGCCCTGTCTCTCGTCCCCGCCAGCCGCACCTGTGAAGCAGGCGGGATAGAGAGCAGGGCCTCCCTAGAAGATCTTAGGGTCCTGGTGGGCTGATAGGCCGAGATACGTTCGGATAGGTAGGTTGGGCCAGAACCGTTTAGGGCTTTAAAGGCCAACGCCAGCACTTTGAATTGAGCCCGGTAGCAGATCGGCAGCCAATGGAGCTGGTGCAGCAGAGGAGTTGTGTGCTCCCTGCGCTCCGCTCCTGTTAGTATCATGGCTGCCGCCCGTTGGACTAATTGGAGCTTCCGGGCCGTCTTCAAAGGCAACCCCACGTAGAGAGCGTTGCAGTAATCAAGATGGGATGTAACCAGAGCGTGGACTACCGTGGCCAAGTCAGACTTCCCAAGGTACGGTCGCAGTTGGCGCACAAGTTTTAACTGTGCGAATGCTCCCCTGGTCACCGCCGAAACCTGGGGTTCCAGACTCAGCGATGAGTCCAGGATCACACCCAAACTGCGAACCTGCGTCTTCAGGGGGAGTGCGACCCCGTCTAACACAGGCTGTAACCCTATACCCTGTTCGGCCTTGCGACTAACCAGGAGTACCTCTGTCTTGTCTGGATTCAATTTCAATTTGTTCGCCCCCATCCAGACCGTCACAGCAGCCAAGCACCAGTTCAGGACCTCGACAGCCTCCTTAGTAGCAGGTGGGAAGGAGTGACAGAGTTGGACATCATCTGCGTACAGATGACACCGCACTCCGAAACTCCGGATGATCTCACCCAGCGGCTTCATGTAGATATTAAACAACATGGGGGACAGTATAGAACCCTGAGGACCCCACAAGACAAAGGTTGTGGGGTTGAGCAGGAGTCTCCCAGTAACACCTTCTGAGACCGACCCTCGAGGAATGAGCGGAGCCACTGCAAAGCAGTACCTCCGAGACCCATTCCCACGAGGCGTCCCAGAAGGATACCGTGGTCGACGGTATCGAAGGCCGCTGAGAGGTCGAGCAGCACCAACAGGGACACACTCCCCCTGTCGAGCTCCCGACGGAGATCATCCACTAAGGCGACCAAGGCTGTCTCGGTACCATGCCCCGGCCTAAAGCCAGACTGTGCCGGATCCAGATAATCCGTGTCTACCAAGAATGCCTGGAGTTGTGAGGCCACCACACGTTCCAGGACTTTGCCCAAGAAGGGGAGATTGGAGACAGGCCGATAGTTGACGAATTGAGTGGGGTCCAGTGATGGTTTTTTCAACAGCGGTTTTATCACAGCTTGCTTTAAGCTGGCTGGAATTTTGCCTTCCCGAAGGGAGGCATTAACCACCACCTTCACCCACTCGGCCAATCCCCCTCTGGCCTCCTTCAGAAGCCAGGATGGGCAGGGGTCTAGGATGCATGTGGTAGCTCTCATTCCTCCAAGCACCTTGTCCACATCCTCGGATTGAACCAATTGAAATGAATCCAACAAAACCGGACAAGCAGATGCTCGTGTTACATCCTCAGAGACTGCCGTTAATATGGTATCCAGTCCAGAGCGGATCAAAGCGACTTTGTCTGCAAAGAACTGAGCAAAGGCTTCACAGCGAGCTGCCGAGTCATCAGGGCACCCATCCTGAGTGGAGGGTTTTAACAGGCCTCTGACAACTCGGAACAGTTCAGCCGGACGGTTCTTTGCAGACGCAATAGTGGCCGCAAAGAAAGTCTTCTTTGCGGCTTTTATTGCCGCGGCATATGCCTTAAAAAGGACACAAACCGTGTTCGATTTGGCTCGCTCGGATCCGAACGCCACACGCTCTCTAGTTCCCTCTTCTTTCGCTTCAACGCTGCCAGCTCCTCGGTAACCAAGGAGCTGGTTTAGCTCGGCTACTTGAGAGGGGACGTTCTGGAGCGATCGTGTCTATTGCCCTAGCCATCTCCCTATTCCAGAGAGCGACCAGGGCATCAACAGGATCACCAACCGAGGTGGCGGGAAATTCCCCAAGAGCCGTCAGGAATCCATCCGGATCCATAAGCCTCCTGGGGCGGACCAATTTAATGGGTCCTCCACCTCTGCGGAGGTTAGGGGGTGCAGTGAGTCTAAAGCTGACCAGGTGGTGGTCGGTCCATGGCAACGGA